GTTTTTTGAAAACCCTGTGCTGTTAATGTTTGTTCTCTTCGAAACTTATTGCACTCACTTCTCGTTACAGTGATCTGTTACTTGTCATTTTATATTTTTTAAATTTCAAAGAATAGTAGTCAATTGTTATGGATTTTTCTTGCCAGTAAACGTGTGTGATTAAAGTGATATTGTTCTCGTTGTGTAGGTAGCATCCGTCTGTATATATGCTCGCATTTGGAAAGCTCTTGACCTAAAAATGACTGTTCTGGGCCAGAAAAAGAAAATTTACGTTTGTGGTTTTTGTAAATTATATTTTTATTTTCCAAGTTGTATTAAAATAGCATTACATATGTAAGTATATAATTAGTATCACTAAACCAATTCATTAATTAATATATTAATGGGGCTCTTAATACCAGCGCAAGACCTTTTTCAAATAGGACTTCTTTTCAATTATTGATTTTTACCCACTTTGTAAGCAGTGAAGAATATTTGTGAACATATTTTTATATAATTTACACAAATGATGAAGTCATCATAGTTATTTTTTAAAATGGTATTTAATTTATTATTTTGAAGTCAAAATGAAAGTGAGGGCTTGTATTATCACCTTCTACTCTAATAACGCCGCCGAGAGAAAATGATTGTAAATGGTCGTTGCGTGTTCATTGTACTCATGATTGAATACATTTCCGAGGTTCTATTTCTTTTGACAAACAGTTAAAGCTAATGGATGAATGAAACACTTGGAATGTCCTATATGCTTAAAGGTGGTTGGCTTAAGTTAGGTTAGGACAACAATTAGTCATTTTCGTACAGTCAATTTGTCTCCTTTCTCTCGCCCATTCACAAATCAATGGCAAAGCTCCTGCTTTTGACATGCATCTTTAACATACATTGAACTTGACTCAACCAACGCCTAATTGTCACTATATTTTGTACCGAATTGCAGATATGATTTATCTTTACTCTCGTACGTCGCATAACTACTAATAGGAAAAACACCTGTACGTAATTAAAAACGCACATTGTACTTGTACGCATGACACTTTTATTATGATTTAGCTGACAAAAATATTATCTCCTACGGGACTATCTGCACGAAGACTTTTCGTTCTTCCTTTGTTCCCTTCGGCGCACTCTTCTCCTGCAGTTTCACTTCCCCTCAATAAACTTGTTTGTTTGCTGCGGGTCGGAGAGCAGGAGCTCGCAGGCTTACCAGCCGCCCACGCGCCGTCGTCGTGGCGTTCCGGAGCTCGCGTTCGGAAGGATTTTACAACTGCCCTCGACTGACTGAAACCGGTCAGAGCCGATCTACGCAATCCGGATGAAAAGGGTCGTCGTAAACGTTAATTCGGGAAAAGGAGGGAAAACACGGATTTATAGGTTCCTAATATACCCAAGCGCTAGAAGGAGGAAAAGTGTTTTCGGCAGAAATGAAAACAATTAAGAGTAATTGCAGGAAATAACAGTGTTTTCAAACCATGCCATAAAAGGGGAACATTACATTCGTAATTATTTTAAATTCAACGCAATAAAAGTTCAAGTGACGGATTAAAGAGGAGAAGTTAAAGTTCAAGAGATCATGTACAACCCATCGTCGGGTCGTGGTGGGCACGGGGATAGAACAAATTTGTTAGTTGAAGGAAGAAGAAATGCAGTTTTTTGCAATCGAATAAATCAAGAAATACTTTATTTACAATTAGGCGCTAGTAGTTGTTGTTTTCTCCAGCCTGTGAAGTGTGATAGTGAATTTGTGTTACTAGAGTCCTGATCTTTGTGAAATTATCCGTATTGTTCTGCATTTTATTGAAGAAAAACTAAGTTGTGGGGAGAATATCATTAAAATATGAAATGTTAGATAATGCATGAACACAAACAACACCTGGCTGAAAAAAGGGGGAATTTAATTTTGAAGTTCTTGAAATTTCGTGGAGAGATGTGAATACGGTAGACAGACATATTGAAACAAATGCAATGAAAAGAAGGATAAAATGGATAAATTGGCATTATTAATATTTATAATATAACAATTAATGTTTTCGACTTACGTCAGAAGCAATATTTCATGAATTTATATTTAATTTGAAATCGAACCGACTGTCAGAAGTTGGTTAAAAGCTTAAGTTAAAAGCTGTCCGAAACATTCATGGAGCAGCTTTCTATCACATAGCTAGAGGCAACTTTTCATCGCATGTACACAGAGACAGTATTCCGTTTCGTGATAGTTGTTTTATAAGAAACCGTGCCATACATTATTAAGTTGACAGTGTTAAGGTGTTAAAATGAGTTGATTGATATTTCCGTGCACATCAACTGCTGTGGTCATTAGTTCCCTTAGTTTATTGACTATTTTATCTCGGAATGTTGTTTCTTTCCCGCTATTTGCTGATATGGTAATGTAATGCGTGTAAGTCTAAGTGTGTTTAAAGGATGAGAGTAGGACGAGGAAAATGAAGGAAAGATCGTGTACGGTTCGTGACCCGTTTGTGACAGTTTTTCTCTTTGGCATTTGCCTCGTATTATTACGTACATTTGCCATAAAAAATTGACGATCATTGCAGCCGACCGATGGAATTGTCCTCCAGACAGTGCGGCGGATCAATTATACTTATATATCTAAATATATTTGCAAATCCGACGCGACTCGAACCTTAGGTCCTCTAGGTCAGAGTCGCTGTCGCTGCAGATACAGCGGTAATGCACTGAGCGGAACTCATATGGATTTTAAAGATAAAAACTTTCCGAGATTTGTGCGTACGATTTTATTTCGGTGTTCTGCACATTCCAATTATGTAGGCATTTAACGTTATTTCGAACATTTAACGATATTTTATCAAGCATTCTCCTTCCCAGAACCCGTGTTACTTTGTCTAGAGGAAGACGTGATTTTGAAGGCATGATTCTAAGTGATTTACTTAATTTGAAATAGAAATGATACAACATAAAACTAGCATTAAATACTTCATAACCTTACTTCGTAAGAAGAGAAAGTATTGTAATCGTGGGCCTGAAAATGGCGAAGTTTCACCAGAAAAACCTGTATTGCTGGGCTCTAGAAAAGAAAAAGTGGATTAATCTTATTTCTATATGTAGTATTTTTCCCTCAAATAATGATGTGTAGTCATAATCCACGTTTAGTGAGTCCTTAATACCGAAAAATTGATTGAAGGAAAATAGTATGACTCTCAGATATTTTGTCTTAAATGAAATGTGTTCTAAAAAATCAGATCTTTAAAAACGTTTTTAGAAAAATATTTTTCGCGAAATTTCTGATCTGTATTTAAAATAAAAACATTTTCTCAAAAACTACTCCAGTATTTTTCCACGGATACAACAAGAAACGAATGACTCAGATCTCATTTTCGTCAAACTCTCTGAATTTTCGATAATTGCAAATTAAGAAAAATGCGAGAAAATATTTGCTGTTTAAACGCCATTAGTATATATGTTTCTCTTTGCTCGGAGTCATCTTTCATTCATATTAATAAATAGACTTATAAATAAAGAATTAAAACAAGATGCAGGAAATATTCATTTTTGACACGGATGTGTTTTTATCTTCAATTACTCTTTCATTTCATAGATGGCACGGTTACGCCTAATTTTTACTTACATCCTCCTTCCAAAACCCTGTTAGGAACTTCCATTTTCCAGCTTATCTGATGCAACGAATATGTATCAGATATGGTTATCGATGCTTTTTTTCATGAAAACTTTTTAAACCTTTGTCAAATTTACAACCACTCATTATGCCTTTCGTGATAGTGGCATAACAATACTCGTTTAATGCGGAGTTTACTGAGAGTACGAATCCATTCTTTCACGCGTAAGTCCGCTGCCTTCCGAGAAGAGAGCTGCAAGGGATAAGAAGAGAGCGTAAAGGAGGCCGAAAGCCGAAGGGGCGAAGAGTAGCGATCTCCTGGAATTGGATGAGACTCGCACGCCGACCCCGCCCGCGCTGCCCCCGAACGTTCTCTCTTTCCCAGAATCCCCTTGGCTCTCTTCAGAGCGAGTTTGTACGAAAGTGTGTGCGCCCGGGAGAATACGTCGTCATTTTTACGACTGGGATCCCTCGCAAATATCGGTAGTCCGTTTTATCTTCGCGTAAATGTTTGTGCGGTGGTGAGCAATTTCATTTGGGATAAGTTGAAGATAGTCGTCCTGATCATTTCTGTCATCATTGTGTCTTTTGCGATCATCGTGACTTATATTCACTTTCCTGTTTGCTCTATTGAGTTAAACAAACACTTTACATTTTGAAAATTGTATTGTATTTCAAAATAGAACTTTTCTGGAATTTTATACCTAACTAGTGGTTGGGTGGAATTCTTTCTGTGGTAACATGGAGAAGTTTCTTAATCACAGTTTAAGTATTTTTGGAACTGAAGAACTATTACTGACACTATCTTAAATATGAGGTCGGTCAATATTGTGTTTTCACAGTTTTGCTTACATAGTTTATATACTATTTTATAATTTTCTTATATACTTAAATTGTTACAGTATATTGTTGGATTTTTGAAATTAATTTCCTTGGCAACGTATTTTCGGTACCATTATTTCGTAAAAGAATATTCCAGTCATACAGAAATTCCAAATTTTAACATAAGCTTTACCGATTTCTCAATTTAGCATCACAGTTATATTACAAATTGCTTACTATAAGTGAAGCAATTTGCTTGGCATCAAATGTATTCATTAACAGATGCGGAGGTACGTTCACTACATTCTGACACTGTAAACAAACATAAGTATCAAAGATTAATTATTTCATTTGTATTACCTATCTTTCAACCTCCTTTCTAATTAAATATTTTATGATTACTTACCCTTATTTTATTAGCTAATGTCAATAATTTCTTTTTGTTAAATTATTACAACATTCTAAACGTCACACAATCTCGTATGTCTTTTAGAGGAAAAGCTTAGTATAAGAGTATTTATATAAGTATGTTACGTAATATTAGCCACGAATCAAATTGTGTAAATATAAATAACTTATACAAATTATTTACTTGCCATTCGGTGCTCCAGACTTTTATTAGGTGCTTCAGACTTCGGGGATTCAGACCTATCAATAAATTTAAAAAAAACATTGTTTGTCAATACGTTTTCATCAAATTATGTGGTAAATCTTTGGCAATTGCATTCTTTTCGTCATTCACTTTTCTGATTAATGAGTCAATGACGACGTGATGTCTCTTTGTTTTTCAATATCCATCTCCTGCTTACAAGGTTCTATGGGCATTTTTAACCAGATTGTGTGCTCTGTTTTATCATATGAGATTCTGCGAGAAAAAGGATTGAATTGGCGGTACAAATAAGTTAAGGTATATTATACCTCAAAAGAGACGACATGGAGACAACTGGGATAAGAAAAAGCAAAAAGATGATTTTACAAATATTAACTTAATGTAATCCTGTTAAAGCAAGAGGCCTTTGCTCTTTATGGGATGTTGTAGGCTAATAAATAATAATAATAATAATAATAATAATAATAATAATAATAATAAGAATAAGAATAATAATAACAACAATAATACCTCAAAATAAGGGAAAATCGCAGTAAATTCGTTTTTTGACTTTTAACAACATCAGAACCTTTGATGTATTCTCTTTAACAAGGTCAAAACCGTTTTATTCTACTATCTTTCGTTTTGTTTTTATTATGATATTTATGTAGCCTTGTATTAGAGGAACCACGCCCCCTTTTGAGAAAGGGAGCGTAGTTCAATTCAAAATGAAACAAAGCTAAAAACAGACAACCCAAGAAAATAAAGAATATATAATGTTTAAGGGAAGAAAGGAAAATAAGAGAAGGTATAGATACAGAAAAAGAAGGCATAATTCATAACCCTTCAAGTGCATTACAAAATTTAAACTATTTCCCCAAAGGTTTACTTGTTGGCTGTTGTTCGAAACCAGAAACATATCTCCGGTTCTATGCATGATAACTCTCTGATTCTTGTTTTGTTATAATTCAGAAATATATAGCTAGTACATGAATCAAAACTAAAAATTTAAACCAATTATTTCATAAAGAAAAAAATAATTTTAAAATTTTAATTTTTGACTTTATAATTTTCTGACAAAAATGTTAAAAAATATGTAAATACTAATGGTACTAATTTGGGTTTGGTTTAGCCACAAGACCAAAACATCTGTTATCATGAGAAAAAGTAACTCAAGCAAAACAGATAGTAGTTCTAAAGTTATGATGTCACAGCTCAGTTTCTATTTCTGTATCCAAAATTCCATTAATTCCCAAAATAAATTTTTCTAGGTCTTTTCGTTTTCATTGCTGACATTTATTCAATAAACACAACAACATTTTAAATTTTTGCTTGTTTAGGGTATAACTGAAATGTTAAAAATGGTAAAAATAAACATACTTTTAATGAAAAATAAGAATGGGACCGGCTTGTTCACTGTTTTTAATATGGTATCCAAATAGTGCTCAAATTGATACGTACACATACTTTTCTCAAAAGGAGAGTTTAACGTGCGATGCTTCCCTCTCTCCCTATCGTTCGGCGTGAATTATCAACGTTACTGTCCAAGCGTTATGTTTATGATTTTCCAACAATGTGGCAGTCGTGAGAAGAAAGCATATCAAATACGAAACATTCCATTTTTTAAATTCACTTTTGTATTCCCTATTGAATTCATAATTCTGCTTGAACATAATTATTAATTTTCGTGCCTCCTTTCAAAAATAATTTCATTCAATACAATAATTTTTAAACAACTCTTTTGGACATAAATTTAAATAATTCGGTTTCTAAGTTATGTAGAATACTTTTAATAACATTGTTTTATGGAACTAGTTTATTTGCTATCACATTGTGAAAGAGCTTCCTCACATTTGAATAAATTTCGTTTCCGTATTTACTCTCCTCAAAATAAATACTTTACATTCTTTCTGGATATACTGCTACGTTCGTGAGGATTCCTCTGCACCTTCCGGTACATTTCGTTTCCCTGTTTACAGTTCAGAGACTAAAAATTCCCTGGACTCGAGGGCGGGGTGGGGGGTCCCATCTGTCAACACCGTTCGAAAGTGCAGTTGGCGGCCGGTGCTGCCTCGGGCTGCGCTCCACTCGGGCAATAAAGGGCGCGGTGAGTGCGCGAGGCGAAGGGCGGGGTGACGGCGCGGAAGGGCCGGCAGCGGAAACAAGCACCCTCGAAACGAGGCGGATATTGTGTGCTTACACGCGAAACAGGAGCTTTATTAATACGACCGGGGCCGTTTCTGCGTCGTTCCTGCTCTTGAGACGAAGGTCGTGTCGCAAACATATACGATTTTTTTGAGTCCCACAACCCTACTGTTTCGAAATTATGACCCTTTTGCTAGTTGAAGAATTGTTATTATGGTACTTTGTATGCATGCTGATGAAATGTAATGACACAAATAATAAAGTTTTTTTAGTTGAATAAAAACAATTGAATACTCAGAAATCGATTTACTTTAAATTCTGCTTAAATAAACTAAAATTAACAAAATATTTATCAAAGCTCTAAATTAAACTTGCCAATAAATTACAAGAAACGTATATCTCGTAATTATGGGATATGTCAAAATCAATTGACACAGTAACACACTCGTCCAGTCATTCATGTATAAATCAGAAAATAAGTTTTGAAATTTAGATAGGATATGACAAATGTTTCAATTTCAGAAGAGTGAATTCTTTATCATCTTCTAGCTGGAAAAAATAATAAAATATGATATATACGAAATAAGTAATTGAATAATGGTGATGTAATTTAAGCTAGTGAATGAAGCAGTTAAAGAAGATAAAGTATTTTAATACGTAAGAGACACATTTCCCATAATAGCGCGACCTTACATCAAAATAATCTATTTACAGTAACGTCTATCGCATGGGACATCAAGGTAAATAAGGTTGTTTATATGCATATTACCAATCATTTATGTTACAGACGTTACCCTCTGCGTCCCCATGCCTGCTCATTTCTGGGTCGCGATGGAGATTTTTGGAGAAGGGATAAGTAGTGTGACTTAAGGCACACGGACCGATTGAACTCTATCCGCCGATTTTTGAATTCATTTTAATAACACCACAAATTAAAGATCAATTATTCAATAAGAAATACAAGAGATGAAATGTGGAGATCAATGAACAGAAATACGTGAAGAACAAAAGAAAAATACTTTAAAAAAGAAACGAAAATACTTGGACATTGACATGATATAGAAACATTAGAGAACGAAACACCTATGAGATATGAAGGACAAAACACATGTTCAGAGAACGAATCAATGAATGTTCCTCGCAAGCACAACGTTAAGGATTATTCGAGAATGGAACAGTAAGAAAATCTCGAGAACGGAACTGTGATGGCACCTTGAGAACGGAACGCTGAGGACACCTCGAGGACGGAACGTTCAGGACACCTCGAGAATGGTACGCTGAGAACACCTCGAAATCTGAACGGTGAGGACATCTCGAGAACGGAACGGTGAGGACGCCTAGAGAACGCGGCGCTGAGGAGACCTCAAAAACGTTCATACCTCAAGAACAAAAGACTACGGTTATCTTGTAAACAAAACACTACGGAGTATAGAACAAAACCGTAAGGATAGTTGGAGAACGACGTAGTAAAGGCAGCAGAAGGCATTCATATCTCGTGGTCCCAAACCTCGCCCACCGCGTGAGTCCGCTCGCAATGTCCGGGGACGCGTGCCCGTTGTGTCCGCGGCGGCGACCGGCCGCGGGGCCGCGGCGCAGCGAAGCCCGGCCTCGCTGGTCGCACCGCTCCGTCGCCAGCACCTCGGGCTCCGCCACCCGCCCCGCGCCCACCCT